AAATGAAAGAAATTGGTATGAACACCACCCAGACCCATATACGGAGATAGGACCTGTTACAATTTTATGGGACTACACAATACACACAATACAGAACAATCAAAATATTAACCGCCACATACATTGTTATTAAAGACCACAAACAAAAAAAAAGTGCCTCCTTATTGATATGACAGTCCCTGCAGACTGCAATGTATCTTTGAAGATCTTCAAAAAGCTTTTCAAAATAACACTTTTTCAAATAGAAATCTCAAAAAAATTGGTAAATGGGAACATCAACAATCCCTGTTGTAGTTGGAGCCCTTTCATGGTTGGAAAAGATTCCAGTAGACCAATTGAAGGGATTCCTGGAAGCCCATGCCTTAAAATGAATACAAAAAAAATTCCTCTGACAAGAGTACAGCCCACACTTTTTCGAAGGGCTTTGTCTATGTTGAACATTTTTTTTTTTTTACGATTGGAAAAAAAATCATGGTTGATTTTAACCTTATTTCTAGGGTTGGGACCCTGGTTATGAGTACAACTCCAGAAATCAAAGAAAAAAAAAATAATAATAATAATAATAATAATAATAATAAAAATTGAAACGGTTAGATCCAACGAGAATCCAAGTAAAATCAAAATTGAATAAACCCTTATTAATTCTTTCTGGAAGTTTATAACGAGACTCACTTATGAAAAAAAAAAAAAAAAAATTCTATACTTCAACCTTCTTCCAGATTCACAAGTATAACTGGGGTTTTTTCTTGAAACACATCTTTAATCTTGATATCATTACAAAATATTTTTTTAAAATGAATATCTAAAGCAATTTCTCGTAATATAAATCAAGTCAGAAGTTTTATTATTTATAACGCCATCGAAGAAGCGCTATAAGTTTATTTATCAGACAATATATTCATGTTCTTATTTAGTTCTGGGTATGACGATAAACTATTGATCCGGCAGAAAACTCTGATTCAAGAAAAAATGGGGGTTTTGACGAGCTTTTGTGATAATTTCTCTTAATTGATGTTTTTCCTGGGTCCATATTGACCCTGGGTCATATTTCTGTTAAAAAAATTATGCTATGGACAAATAAAACGCCCAAACAAATAAAAAGCATAATGAAAGTATAAAAAATAACATTTTATTGTAAAAATAGCAGTAATAAAATAATTTGTATCAGGATTAAATAACCCATCTGAAAAAATATTAAATTAAAAATTTTTCAAAATTTCATAAGCAAAATCTTTGAAAAGCTCGGTCTCATATTGACTTTTACCTGAGATGGAAAAATACATTGAGTCAATAAATTTGTCCACCGCAAGGAAAGTTGGCTCCTGTGTTAAATGCCAAGGAAATTTTTCTCCCGGAATCGATCCTTCAAATCTACAAATCAACCATTCGCCCTTTCATGGAATATTGCTGACATATATGGTCTGGAGCCCTTCTGTTTGCCTCATATTTTTTGACAAAATCCAGAACGGATATGCAATGTAATTGGCCTGATCTGGCATCTCGTCTGCAGTCGCTCTCTCACAATACGTGCCGTCGCCTCCCTCTTCTTTTTTTTTAAATACCTTCATGGTAACTGCTCCGAAGAGCTGCTTTCGCTGGTTCCAAACTTTTCATGAATTTAAGCGTTCTACTAAAGCTGTCATCTTTCTCACCCTTTCACTGTCTAAACTGTTAAATGTAGCCGTTGCTTCTATTCCAATAGCTTCATGTCTCGCTTTCTCGCCTGTGGAACTCCTTTTCCCTTTTCCTTGTTTCCCTGATAGCTATAATCTTCAACTATTCAAATGCAATGTCAATCGACGTCTCCAGATGCCTTGATCTATCCCCAATCCTTCACTTCATTTTTCCTTATCACTCCAATTTGCTCTTGCTCCAATTCTCTGTAACATGCTTAGTGGCTTCCCCAAATTGCTTTGAAAACAATAAAAAAAAATAAAATAAAATAAAAATAAAAAAAAACATGAAATCAAAACAGCGTTCATGACATTAATTCATTAATATTTTTAAAAAATTTTATTCTTTAATATAAATAAATCAAAACATAATATAAAGCACATATATATTAATATATTTCGTAATTATGTCCATACAAACATTTATATATCACAAAAAATGAGTATCATCTACCATGTATTCAAATGTGAAAAAGAATAACCTATATATTTTTTTATTAAAAAGCTCCCAAAAAATTTAAATTTCAAGCATTAAATGACCCAAAAGATGTTGATATGCAAATAAACAAATTTTATATTCTTATTAATTTCATTCTATTATTTTTTGTTTATTTTATCAAAATTCTTAAATCGGTTCATTTTCTATTTTCAAATCATCAGTTTTAATTCACATTGTCAATGTTTGTTCGTGATCAAATCGGTAAAGACATACTAAATTGTTTAATAATTTTTCATTTCACTCTCCAAGTTCCTATTTTTTAAGCTACTACAGGACACTGAGTGTGACAATATGAGAAAAGAAAAAATAGTAAGTATTTAGAACAATAAAAAACAAATTTTTAAGAATACAGAAGGTAACGATTGACATTGCATGCAATTTTTTTTTGAATTTCATCCATGTTGACGGGAAAACAATTGTTTCCCTCGCCTTTTTCAAAAAATTTAACTAAAAATATTTTCAACAATTTATATGACTTACGGTTTTATCTCTCCATTTCAACTCTAAATTGATGAGACATTATTAATCATCTAAATTTTAAAATTGAATTTATAAAAATGTATAAATACCAAAGATGAAAACTGTTAAAGGAATTAACACGGAAAATTTTTTTTAATAAAAAAGGCACAGGTAAGCTACGTTACGGTGGTTGGAAACTGACAGATGCCGAGATGCCAGATCACGACCAATAAAATTGTAGATTCTTTGTGTTATATTGCAAACCTCTTAATGCATACATTACAACTGATTAGTGAGCTCAATCCTCATTGGGTTCCTGTTAGAGAGATTCGACATTAAATAACCCAACAACAGTTGCTATGTCGTAAATATCAACCATGAAACAGACGAAGCAACTCTGTATAGGTTCGTCTATATAAGAGAGTTGCAGATGGTTGTGTAATGAATTCAAGCTGCACACCAAAAATGATAAGACGAGACTGAATTTCTCATATTTAAATTTCGTTTCATTTAACTCGTGACTCCAGATTAATTACTCAGAGGCTGTTGCGTTTTTATCCTATGTTAACCCTGATTTTTATTTCACTTATATATTATATAATACAAAATATTATACTATATCAAAGATACTAATATCAAATATTATACTACTATCAAATATTACAGTAGATCAAATATTATACTATACAAATATATATATATATTATATTTTAATATACAAAATATTATATATATATCAAATATTATAAAATATCAAAATTTTTTTTAATTAAAAAAATTGTTGAATATTAAAATAATATAATATACCAAATATTATTTTATATAAATAAATATTATATATAAAATATTATATAAAATTATTGTTCAAATATTATACTATATTTGAAAATCATCCTAATATTAAATATTATGATAAATTTAATACTAATAAACATCATCCTAAAAAAAATATTTAATATTGTTCAATGTTTCTTCTTATTTTTTATAATATCAAATCTTATAAAAATATCAAAATGTAATACTAATACCAAATTTTATACTAATACCAAATATTATTAAAAATATTAAATAAAATAATATACCAAATATTATATACTAATATCAAATATTATATTATATCAAATATCATCCTAATATAAAATATTATTAATATCAAATATTAACTATTTGAATATTATACTAATATCAAATATCTACTAATATTAAATATTATAATACCAAATATTATGATTTTATCAAATATTATATTATACCAAATATAATACTAATACCAAATAGTATACTAATATCAAATCTTATAATATACCAAATATATTAATATGAAATATTACACTAGACCAAATGTTATACTATACCAAACATTATACTAATAGCAAATATTATATTAATGGCGATAGAAAAGCACTGCTTCCTTGAAATCAGACTAGAGTACTTTCTTGACATATTTCGAAGACTTTGTGCTTTTATGTAACTCCAGAATTATGTTTTCTGATTATCAATATTTAATTTAATCAGCGCTCAATTCTCATCATGGTTAGTTAAGTAGTTTTGTGATTATGAGAAGAAGAAGAAGAAGAAGAATGAAAAAGAATGAAAAAAGAAAGAAAAAGAATGAAAAAAGAAAGAAAGAATCGAATTTTAACTCGGGAGCTCAGGCAGAAGGATTTAAATTGTTCGAGACTGAAAGAGTTTATCCCTTATTTTCTATTTAGGATTGGGTTTCCGTTTCTTTCTATAGGCTTTGCATTCAATTTCAATTCCAGTGACCGCTTGCGTCTTGGTAACATTATCTCCTTCCTTGGCTGTTGCCTCTTACTCTGTAACCATTTACTCGAGTGGCTCTTGGGCCTTGTACAGGGCGAGCATCATTGTATAAAAAAACACGATTGTAAGGGTGCGTGGGTATTTAGAATATTAGCGTTTCAACTATGGGGGTCATGTCTAATCTTAGGACGATATGTGAATGAAGAGACTTCTTAATAATGTCAATCTGGAAAGAGGATCTCTGCATGCCTGAGCAGGCGTCTACAACAGGGATTAACTAACCACTCTAATGGACCCTATAGTCTTCCGAGACAGTGGAATACCTACTTATGATAATAGTTAAGCATAAATTCGGTATTGAAATTTTTTAACATCCCCATAACTCAATCTCATATTGTACGTTTCTGTCTTCGGAAATATAAATTTTTTTTATACTTAGAGTTGTCCGGTCCCGGGGTATAGCTGCTCGCGGCTGTACCCTCCTCATTGCACTAGAGAGGGAAAGATTGGTAGTCATACAAGCGGAAATGACGGTCATGTCACGTCTCAGTGGGGAGAAGGAGTAAAAGAATTAAATAAAAATTGAGAAAGAGAGAGTAATAATTTTAATGTTTGAGAGAGAGAGAGAGAGAGAGAGAGAGAGAGATCAATAAATACAATAATGGGAAAGAGAGAGTGAGAGTAATATGTATAATATTTTTTTTAAGACAGAATGATAAGTGTAATTTTGTGAAAAAGTGCTTAATAAGTTTAATATTCAGAAAGAAAGAGAATAAGAAGTGTAATATTGGGAAAGAGAGTGAATAATAAGTGTAATATTGGGAAAGAGAGAGAGAAATAAGTGTAATATTGGGAAAGAGACAGTGAGAGTAATGTGTGTAATTTTTTTTTTTATAATGATAAAAAAAAGATTGGGAAATCAAGGATAACAATAAATGTAATATTATATTTGATGGGAGAATAAAAAGTGTACCATTGGGAAAGAGAGACAGAGTAATAAGAGTAACATTGGGAAAGAGAGACAGAGTAATAATTTTGTAACATTGGGAAAATAGAGAGAAGAAACTTAAATTAATATTAGGAAAAAGATAAAAAATTTTAATAAATTTAATATTAGGAAAAAGTTTAGTAAATTAAGAGAATATTAGGAAAGAGAGAAAGTGAGATAGACTCATATTCGACAAGAGAGATTTTTAAATGTTCCATTGGAAGAGAGAGATAGAGAGAGACAGAATATTGGAAAAAGGGGGAAATAAAAAATAGTGTGTACAATAATATTGGAAAAATAAATAATAAAAATGTAATATTGGAAAGAGAGAGAAATAAAATTAATATTGGGAAAGAGAAAAACAATAAATGCAATGTTGGGAAAGAGATATAAAGAGTAATAAGTGTAATATTGGGAAAGAGAGAGAGGGAGAGAGGGAGTAATAAGTGGAGCCAAATAAAAAAATAACGATTTGAGAGACATCAGTCAAAAGAAATGAATGGTAATAGAAAAAAAAAAAGAATGAAAGATTTAAAGACATAATTTAAAGATCAAATGAATGAAAGAAGACGATAAATGAAAGTCGATAATAAAGAAAACAAAAATAAAAAAGACGATAGAGAGAAAAGAAATCCAACTTGAAAATTCTGCTTTGTGCGACATTCGCAGACAATTCTGCAGACGGCGAGACAAATTGGGCAACGAGACAGACAGACAGACAGACAAAAGAAATCAACGAGCCGATGGAAGCAGACAGATGGAGAGAAGACAGAAAGAGACGAATATAAGTCGTTGGCAGGCATTTTTCTTCGTGGCAGACACCATTCTAGACGTGCACACAGACACAGGCAGTCATTTGGCGCGGCACGCAGCCCAGACGAAACACAGACTGCTCGACTAGACAGAGCTTTGCAGACAGACGGCGGAGAAGAGTCATCGTGCACTCAGGCTCTGTCCAGACAGACACTAGACGTTTTAATGCGCTCCGCCGACAAAATTACTCTCCCCACCTAATGATCCGTACCTCTGTGTACGTGTGCGCGCGCGCTGAAACACCGCCGCGCAAGCGCACACACGCACATGCGCAGACATGTATCCAGACATGCACTGGCGCGCAGACAGACACAAAACTGGAAAGGCAGAAAAGAAGAAATTGGAGGATGGTCGTTGCTCTGCTAGTAAAGACGTTGCTTGCCTTTCTCTTCTCTTTTTATCGCAGACGTATTGTCTTGCTGCGGTTAACTAAATCAAGTAGGATATTAACTTGGATTCATTTTTGTGTGTATATATATGTATTAATGAAGAAATTAATTGAATAAACATATATACTTTTTCTTTTCTCAATAATTTTGTAGTTTTTAAACTTAATAGTGATTAAATTTGGATTTTAAAATTGCCAGTTTTTAATTTTAATATTAAATTTTATCATATAATTTTATAATTATTGGTTAGTATAAATTATTTTTAATATTACACGTATTTAAAGATCTGAATAGCTATTATAACATGATTTCGTTGTCAAGCTTTTGAATCTTTCTATACTTCGTTTTTGATTGGTTATTCTAGCTTTTGTAACAATGTTTCCCCCTAGTGTAGGATCGTTAATTAATCTGAAACTTTTAAAACCATTTATTTTATTTTCAACATCATCACTTGATAAGACACAGAGTGTGTTGAAACAAAATGGCTATTTTTGTAGTGATTTTATAACATACTTATGTTATAATTTTTTTTTTTATAAAAAATAATTATATATATATATATATATTTTTTTTTTTTTTGACTTCATGTCATTTTTCAAGCTATGGGTAGAATGTCTTGACTTGGTAAGCATGTTTATTCTTCATGGTCTTCAGCGGACGGTATTTTCATAGAAGACGGGCGGATCTTCACGCCTGTCAGGTTTTGGAATTGGAAACTACAACAGAACTTATCTTTTTGGCCTCAATTTAAGACACTGACACGGAGCTGAACTCTGTCATTTTTCTAAAATAATTACTACCATTAATTTTCAAAATAAATCACAAATTTCATTCTGTTTCGTTTTTGTTTCTTTTTTTTTTTTTAATATTATCTTAAAAAAAATATTTTTTGTAATTCTTACATGAAGAAAAAAATCTATATATCTCTGTAATGTACCAACAACTCTAGAAGATTAAGAAACTTTATTTGACTCATTCAGCTGAAAAAAACAAAAAAAACAAAACAAAAAAAAACGTTTTGTTATAATGGATGGATACAAGCGAAAGAGGAGATGAGATGTGTTTATTTTATTATCCCACTCTCATTCCCAAAAATAAGGAATATCGAAACACCCCAGAATTGTTTATTTAAACTTTAAAAAAATGTCTACATTAGTATAATATACGTAAATATATATATATATATATATATAGAGAGAGAGAGAGAGAGAGAGGGGTGAAGGAAAATCAGAATTAGGTATCTTTAAAATTTAACATCTGACTCGCTAACTTATAACATCTGATTTAACCACCCCGAATTTTAGCCTCGATTTTATTTGCTCCTGCCACATTTAAACTCTGATTTAGCATAAATTTTTAATCAAATTCCATTACACGTAAATATATACGGTTAAAAATTACTTTTACATTTGAAATTATCTGCAGGCATCCAGCATCTGAATATCTCTTTAACAAAATTTATCGATGTAATATCTTCAGAGACAAATCACGTCTGTCTAGATTCGGGTCACTGTTTACAGCATCCCCCCCCCTTCAAAAAAAAAAAACCCTCTCCATCGCCCGTCGGATAGTGTTTAAATCTTATATAAACTATGCCTGAAAGAATAAACAGATGGTTTCAATTCGTGTCGAGTTACTTTTTTTTTTTTTTTTTTACCGAGTATCAGTCAATCCTTGCATTATTAAAGCTGATCTCTGCGCATTATACATTGGCATGGCGAGAAAAATCTCGGTATTTAATGCGCGCCTCTGTGAAAGGGAGAAAACATGTACGTTCTTATTTCCATAAGTATGACATCGATATGTGAATAAATATGTCTATACGCACCATAGCTCTGAGAACTTCGACGCAGTTTAATAGCTTATCTCGTTAGACGTTATCTCGGCCTTGTGCCACAACTAAGTTATATTTGTAAATCACTATAGGCACAAAAGTTTGGGAAGTTTGACGCCCTAAAATTCAAAAACTGACACCTCATCGAAGTGTCCACGCACGTTGATGTATGTGCATATTTACAAAGTTTAAACAAGCAAGGCAAACACGAGCTAAAATAGAATTATTATAATTAGTTTCCAATCGTAGCTTAGATGCGACACAAGCCCGTATGAGGCACCCAATGAGGATCGAAATCACTACTCAGTCGTAATTGATCAAGCAGAGAAACAAAAATTCTTAACAATATGGAAAGTGCCCAAATGAAATTGTTATATTTAATGGTCTTAAACAAGCTTTTGAAAGCAAATATATATTTATTTTATATATATATATATATATATATATATATATATATATATATATATATATTTGTGTACATAGATATATATGTGTGTGTGTGTGTGTGTGTGTATCTATGTGCGTATACATGCACGCATATACATATTATAGAATGTTTCATACATCTAACCATAGTTTTGACTTTTAAAAAATGCCAGTCTAATTTGAAGAGAATAGGTTTTACTTAGAAGCAAATTAATTGAGATTAGGCTAATCTCGGGTTTCTCAAAAGTTAATCCAAAACCAGGACCATCTAGGGTACAGATCATCACAAAGACAATAATAACACAATGGGGAATTCACATCTAACGAAGTCGGTTGATCCCAAACAACTGTTATATATATATATATATATATATATATATATATATATATATATATATATATATATATATATGTATAACCCGACTCAGAAAGTCGTAGACGGACTCTCAAAAAAACCGTTATGCAGTCGTCATTCAGGCCTGGGGGGATCAGCAACTGACTAATTATATTTCTCGTTTGCAGTTTTCATTGGTGTATAAAAACATATACATATAAACAAAAAAGAACGACAAGGCATCCAAATGTGACATATAATCTCAGGTAAAACAAACTGTCAACCTATAAACTGATATATAATATATAAATATATATATATATATATATATATATGTTAATTGTAGTGAAATACAAGAAGATAGTGTGTTTGCAGAATGTGTGTTTATAAAATTTATGTGTGTGTGCGTATGTGTATCAAAAGTATATATATATATATATATGCCCAATTGTTGTTAGACAGTTGTTTCAAGCTAGACGCATCGTGTCCTGACGATTGCGTCTAGCATGAAACAGACTGTCATCTTTTTTGTTGACTTCAATGTTCATTTTTATATTTACACTCTATCTCTGATATTTAGCACTTTATCCCATAAATATAGCACACCGTAAGACTATAAATCTTCATGACACACAGCCGACACACACACACACACACAAACACATCTTTGTTAACATTTATTTATATATATATATATATATATATATATATATATATTTATATATATATATATATATATATATATATATATCAGTAACAGTGGAGTAATGGTTAGCGACTTGGATTGAACCCTTTGGAGAGTTCGAATTCCTCAGTCGAATCCATTACATTCCTTTCTTGTAATATCCTTGTATTTATTCAATCCAATTCTTCTCCCCTCCAGCTATGGGTAAATAGCAGGACAGACTGGGTTCTATAGCCTTGGATGGCAACTTTCTAAGTGAATTCAAAACCTGCGGAGGGTCGTTTGAACCTTGTGTCACGTAGTGCACCAAGTCTCTAAATTCGGCCCTTCAAAAGTGGATGG